GGGCGTCTTCCCCTGGAAAGGGCGTATCGAAGGTGCAAAAAGGATGTCAAAAGTGAAGAGGGAGGAAAAATAAATGACTGCCAGGAGTTGAGAGTAAATTGAGACAAATGTAGGTGTTAAGATGCAAAAAAAAATATCTCCAGAGGTGGTATTAAGTTCCACTTCTCCCATTTTATTGAAATAAAAAGTCCAAGTGTACATTCCACCTGGAAACATTTTTTAAACTTACCAATTAAATCTATATTAAAAAAAAAATGCGTTTAACCCGCAATTTTGGTATTTAAAAAATATTCCTCCATTAAAAAATATTTTTTCACCTGCATATCCTTTTTTAAAAATCTCCAACCAATGGGAAACCGTGGAATGCACGTGGATATCCTTAATTACACCTTTAATCAGTGAATTCATGTTGCTCATTAACATAGCGCCATAAACATGTGAATACAGTATTAACAATGACCCCCCGAAAATCCATTCTAGGATTCAACCACTCGGAAATGGTCCAACTGATGCCGTTGGGTTGAACAACGTACGTGCAAGCTCAATTTTCCCTTAGTTTTCTGAGTGTATGCATAGCCCAAGGGCCTCCAACTCCTGGGGTTCCCCGGGTTCCCTAGGTTCCACCGGTTCCACCAACCTCCATCATTCCTCGAAAATATTGCAGTCACGTTGCTGACCTGGTCATCCAACAGTGAAGAATTAACTGTCTTCTTAACTCTTTCTCTTCAATTTTTACTTGCTCAAGTTATTATTGTATTTTTTTCATTAAACGATGAGGAACAAAAAGGGCCACTGCGACAGGGGCATACCACTGTGGGCTTTTCATAAACTCGCTTTATCCTCACAGCCTCACCTAGGGCTTTTTTATCTTTTTTTTTTTTTTAAGTCTCGTTGCTCTCTCAGCAACCCTTGTCACGACTCACCCATGCCTCTGGCCATTTTTCTTCCGGTATTCCACGAATTACTCGTCAGACAACCGATCTACTTCGCCTCCATGTTTTACAAAAGAAAATGTCGCTGAAAAAAATGCAACCTAATTTATCTCTCGATCATGGCCCGCTTTTACCTCTCAAACCTTTTTTTTTTCTTCTCATCCCCATTCTGGGGAAAATTTTTTACTCTTCACGAATTAACAGGTTTCGGGGAAACCGCCGTCAGTTCATTTTTTTTTTCGTTTTTATTTGTCAATTCTCCGGGTTTTTCTAGCGTGAATTTTAAAAAATGAGGTTCACGTCGGTGGAAGGAAGGGAATTAGAATTCTGGTGTGGAGTGGTAAATTAGGATAAGTACATTTTTTTGGCGGCCCAAAAAAGAAGTTTTTACTCGAGATCTCGAAATTTAAGGGACACCACGATTTTTTCGTTCATAAATTTCTCATCCTTTTGCTCATTGAAAAATAAAATCAATGGATTCCGTGAGAATGGATAAAAAAATTGATTAAAATCTTGAAGAAATCCGCACATTCTCATATATCATTTCTAACGATGAACCCCCGGATATTTCCAATTTCGGCCACTCGAAAATAAGTGAGTTTTCACGTACCTCGGAATTGTGCTTTATGGTTTATTCATTGAAAGCAATTCGCTGAGACTCACTTGCAGTTGCCCCAGCGTCTCTCTAATTGGCAAGCTACGACCCGAGTTGCCTCGTCTTCCTCAGGATTCATAAAAAAAAGAGTAAATAGAGACGAAGAAGAGAAAAATAAAAGTGACAAATAGCGTTAGAGAGTGCCAACAAGTTTTAGGGAATTCTCATTGAGATACAGATCAATCTTCTTCAGCATCTTGAGTACCCGATGGTTCTTCACCATGAATAATGAATTTACACTTTGATTACTCAATCAATTAGCGAGTGGATTTGTTCCAATCAACTCGCCTCCAGCTATCTCGCTTGGTGCTCATCATTCTGGAGATCAACTTGACCCAGAAGGTGAGGTAACAAGTGCTGACTAATTGAGTTTATCTGATTGTTACATCACGAAGGGGAAACAATTCTTCAGAATGTATTCATCTGATGCGATCGGACGTAACGATACGAATCTATCGAGTTATTTACTCTTTTTTTAATTCAACTATTTTTCTCATCAATATAATCTGACCAATAACATCATTTTAATTTCAATTATTCTTTCGTTGGAATTTCAAATATAATTTTCCAGCCGTGTGCATTGTCCTTTTCACTTTCATGAGATTATCGTATTTTTCTCTCAAAAATGTCAGAGTGGAAAAAAAAAATAAATTAAATTACCCCTCCGCCTCCGCAAGATGAACTCGATTCTCAAGATCATTAGAAAATCCCAACGCAGACAAAAGTAAGGAAGAAAATAAATTCACTTCCTTATCTCCCCACTGAGCATCTCCACCAGAGGGGTCACTATAAAGATGTTTATTTTAATCATGAAGATAAGTAGGTTATTAGAATTCCAACCCTCTCCAGACTCGGTTGATATAAAATACCAGGTAAACCCCTTATTTCGCTGAACAAAGCTCATTCAAGGTTTTTAAATCGGCGAACGGGGAGTACGTTATTTTCGTATTTGCTGAATATCTATTTTCATCGTGACATTTATGAAGACCAACAATGCAGACCCTTTAATTGTCAGAGTATTGCCTACTCAGGAAGGTCATAAGAATGGCGCTGGGGGACTCGTAAACTCTAGGGTCTATCACAGACGTACACAAGAATTATTAATTCCCTCGTAGGAATGACTGCCCGATTGACTCCAACCCCCCCAACCCCCCAACTTCATCATCCCGACTATTTAGTGGTTTTCAAGCACCACTCACTGGAATTCTCGACATTCACCGAGCAAATCTTGATAGCATCCCAAGGACTCAAGTATCTCAGAAACTCCAGTGGTATTTATTTCTCCGAAACAAGTTGAATATACCGAGAAATTCTTGGGATATCGTCTGTCCAACTCCACGAAAATCAAACTCTCTCGTTGCCGGTTAATTAATATCAAATTCATATCATCGTTCGGGAATACTCCGCTAATTAATTATTCCCCAGTTTATATTCATCTGCCCAGCGGGTTAATTTTCTCTCCCTCTATGTTAATCCTTCCATATCACGATGAAATTGTATTGAACGAGGCATTTAATTATCGCAAGCCCAATGGAGATGAAAAAAAAATTCACCATCCTTTCACCAAATATCTTGACCCAATAATTCCTCTCTCGTATCTCCGTTCATCAGTGATTCAGAAATATTTTTTCATTTCATTTTTTTTTTTGGAAACAATCGAGTCACGTGGATTGCTCGTGATATACCATCCCTTTCACAATTCAGTGCGCAAAAAGTGTCGTATTCTTTCGTGATGTTCCAACAGTAAAAGAAAGTGCGGGACAAACGAAATGAAAAAGAAAAAAGACCCATAAAAAATGGAATGACACATACGAGTACTACAGTCGTTACGTCCAGAGTAGAATTCGAGATTATACCGTGCATGAATCTTTAATTGTCCTGAATATTATTGGGGGATGGGTTTTACGAGGGTCTCCGGATGTACCGAATGCATCCGCCTCGGGTTGCTGATGACGTTATCACGAGAGGGTGATAATACATAGAGATAAAAAGTTTCTCGTTGTCAGAAAAAAATATTTTCTGGTGGAAAAAAAAAATGGAGATCCGAGAAAATTTTTATCGATTCTAGAAAATCAATTTTCCATCATTATCTCTTTTTCTCTCCCCCTCTTGTCGCAGCTGTTGCGAACCAATTAATTAAATCAATTCCATTGTTTGTCATTATTATTTTTGCTCGATTCTCAATTTACGAGAGAGACGAAAAAAAATTGTCGGAATACCCCGGGTAAAAAAATTGTAATCGGAATATATTTTCCAAATTTGGAAAAAAAATTCTGGAAAATTTTTCAGAAATTTTTTGACAATTGAAAAATATATTCCGATTACAATTTTTTTTTTACCGAGGTAATAATAGCCGAGAGGCGGATCCACGCAATTATCTGCACCTATACAACAGATCTATATGAATCGCGCAATTAATACCATCGAAATGAATGAACATTATGGAAGAGATATGTGTGAATGAGTCTGTCGTTGTATTCGCCGCTTCACGGCACTTTCTCGCGGGCAAACAATAGACCCCATGAGTAGACAATTAACGTAATTAGGCGGTATGATTTTCAATGGTAACACGTGTTGGCAGTGTATTGATGCACTTATTGAGAGTTAAGCTTTTCCCGGTATCTCGATGATATTCTCCACAAATATTTCATTCAAATCGATTCCTCAGCAAATCGATAACACCAAATACCGCATTATACCTTTTTCTTTCGATGGCAATGAGGGTTAATGTAGTGTAAGGACAATAGATCCATTACTCACATATTTATGGTTCCATTCATCACAATCCAAATTTTCGCCAAACACCGGTGATTACCCCCATGCAATGAGAAAATAAAAAATAGCAAAAAATTTTTTCGTCCCTTCGTCCCCGTGGAATAAATCTCTGGGAATAATTGCTTTCTAGCAAAACAACAAAATAGGCGGATGACAGTAAGATTGAACGATACAGTGGATAAATGAATATTCGTGTATGGAATCCAAATATCCTCGCTCAACCACTCCACCGAATTGCCATGTCCTCGAGGATTTGAGTTCTCGTATATATTTGCGAGCGTGCGTCCTCGCACGAGGACGATTCACCCCTCTCGCAAGCTCCAGTAATCCCGCATTAATTTGATCCGTCTCGTAAGAAGAAAAGTGGAAGAAAAAAAAAATCCATTCCGCGAAGGCATTCGCGTATTTTGCCCCGAGCAAGTCCACCAAAAGCCCCGGTTTCCCCATATTCCCTAATGGAATGAGATTAGTCAGGTCAAAATGACCGAAAGGTTAGCTGGAAAAGTGGAAGATCTGAATGAAGAGAGATTCCATTGAACGCCTCAGTGGCATCCTCAACCCGAAAATCTCCAAATCCCCAGGCAAAAATCCCTTATCCACCTGAAGTAACGATAAATAACGATAAGGATTTCACTTACCTCCGAAAGTCTCGACTCCAGCATGCATAAATGACTGGATTCATTCCACTGTTGATCCATCCAAGCCACGTAACAGCTGCCGATATAATTTCCTCATTCCAAATGCATCTCGTGCAGAAACCCGACAAAAGATTAACCACAAAGAATGGTAACCAACAAACAATAAAAACACCCATAACAATACCAAGTGTCTTAGCAGCTTTTTTCTCCTTAGCAAATTTAGCTAATTTACGTGATAACGAAAAATTCTTTCCAAGATGTTGTTTATTATTGATGCGCGTTGAAGGCATTCGCATCAAGCCATTATTATGAAGAGTCAATGGCTCCTCCATATCCTGCAAATCCTCAGGTGTACTCGATGCTGTTCTAAACAGATGTCTTGCATCGGTATTAGTAGCACCACCTCTGTGTATCCTAAGAGTTAATTCCAATTCACCAGATGCCATCATCACTTGTTTTGTACCAAGTTTTAGACTCCTAGTTTGAATAACAGCCGCCCGATATATTCTGTAGTAGGTGAATACCATGACGAACAATGGTAAGTAAAAGCTTATTGTTGATGAGAATATGAGATAACCAAGATTTTCGGTAAATGGACACTTATCCTTGGGCACCTCTTCGGTTCTCACAGCTCGCCACCATGCTATAGCTGGAAATGATATTGCACTTGAGCACACCCATACTATCGCTATGAGTATAGCTGCCCGTTTTCTACTCATTCTCGTTGGATACGTGAATGGATCAGTTATCGCCCAATATCTGTCGAGACTTATCACACAGAGATTCAATATTGATGCAGTTGAGAAGAGAACATCGAGGGAGCGCCAGACATCGCACCAATCCATTGTGAATAACCAGCGATTCTCCAGTACCTCGTAGATCGCACTGAATGGCATCACCACTAGACCAACAAGGCAATCGGCAAATGCTAATGATGTGACGAAATAATTTGTCGCTGTGTGGAGATAACGCTCGCGAAAAACAGCAAGTATCACCAGTGAATTGCCAAATACCGTTGCCACTGAGAATAACAGCAGAACAACAGCAAGACCAGCACGATCTGTTGCTAGATCCCATAGATCATTGTACGTATCATTCACTGTGTAGTTTGAATTGTAGTACGTGCGATTGAGCTCATGGCTCAGTATCGACGACTCGTCCCAACCGAGGAGGTATATTTCACTCTCGTTCATTATCGTCATTAAATTTTATTCATCTGAAACCCCTGGTCTCAGTGCCCCATAATCCAGAATTTTCATTTCAAGTCATTTCAGCGCCGCGTTTTCCTCTTCTCAGTTCCCTTCGCAGTCTCATCTTTTTCCACGATTATTGCTTCTTGAATAATCTCCGAGCATTCGATAGTCACCGCGATAATCCTAATCCTGAAACATACCAGTGATATTTGTTTGTTAAAAAAATTCTACAACATTCTATAAACTTTATTTGGGCATGATTTTTTGATGTCGAGTGATTGAATAATGCAGTGATAAAAGTGATTCATCAGCTCTAAGTGTACACCCTCGGATAAATCGCAAACATCTCGAATTAATTCACCCGCCCCCCTCCCCCCCAACCACTTGGTGAAAAATAAAAAAAAATAAAAATTGTCCATCTGTTCCAATTCCGTTCTCATTTAAATCCGCGCGATCGGCGTTTTCACTCGCTCCTTCTCTTCCACGGGCTCTTCTCCACTGTCACTCGTTTTATTATTTTTTTTTTTTCACTCGCCTCCTCTCCCTCTACTACCCCTCGGACATCCTGTTTGAAAACGAGGGAGACGAGGAATCGTTGGAGCGGGAGATCGACTCGTAATCGATTCGGTTAATCACGAAACTGTCGGAGAAAATTACAGCGGATAAAAACTGTGAGAATTCATTCACCAGTGGAAAATGTTACTCAGCATCATAAAAGAGAGGAGTGAAGAGATAATTTGGAGGGAAAGAGAGGCGATAAATATTCCACTGGCTGAAGAAAAATCCCGGAGTCTCACAGAACATATGGCTCAGCGGTAAAAGTGAGAAAAATCCGAGCATAACAATTTCCCGATGAACGGCGAAATAAATTATTATTTAAAAATAATGGGAATAAAAATGAAAGAATAATTTTCGATGAGTCCACAAACTCCTTCCCAATATGAATCATTTTTTTTTTTAGCGTCACGTAAATTTATCCCACTGCAATCATCTTGGAGTGATAAGAGAAAATTGAAATCCGACATTGGATGCGAGATGAAATGATCGAAATGGTTGTCTGGCATACCGAAAGATTGGTTAGTTGATTGGTATGGCGTATCGAGCTGACAGCATCATCGCAAAAGAATATAAAACAAGCAACACTGTGTACCACCTTGTGGGTAAACTGGAGACTCATGTATTGATGGGTGTGGACAGGGTCATGCTCTCATCCGTGATCCGAGTGAATATTCACCGTTGCTTGATCAAAGCCCCTTCGATCGGGGCCCCCAGCCTCGGCCTCAGTTTTATTCGGCATCGATATCAGTTTGAAACTAAAACTTTAACCAGTACCACAATATTGTCAAAATGTCATCAAACACCGTTGAATTTTACAACTCTAGCTCCCAGGTGAATAGCTTTGACACAACACATGTTCCTTGAGCGCGATTCCGGTGAATCTATTGACAATGGCCCACTCCGTAAAATCGGTTAATTGATTTGCTTGTTTGGCATTTGCCACCCGTGTGTAGTTGACATTGGTTACAGTACAAATACACCGAGTCCTGGAGATCTGGTTGCAACACTTGACTTTGGACAGCTCCTTGTGCCTCGCACCTCCATCTCCCATTTAACCAATCTCCGCATGACATCCACTAGGTACAACCACACCACATGAACAATTTCACTGGGTACAGGTCGCCTTGGTGTCCATCGATTGCTTTGATTCTGCACCAACAATTTTGACACTGATACTGCTTTGAGGCATAATGGGCCACCATACCTCTCTGAAAGCACGACTGTTCCGGCTAAATGCTGTCAGAATAGCTAGTTGCTGGTGACATTGTCCAATGGAGGGATGAGTGCATCATCGAGAAACCGTGTGGGGTGGAGAATGCACGTCTTCTTGAATTATAGATCTGGCTCTTCGCTGAGGTGAGAGCATCCCAACAGACTCCCTTTCAATTTGGATAACCACAGACCTTCGACTCGAAATTCTGGACAAGGCAAACACCTGTACTGCATCTCCAGATGGATGACGATGCTTTGTCCAGTGCAATTTTAATGCATTCAACACATATTTATTCTTCGCAGGTACTATACTACCATTGGTATTGGGGAAGGACCATAAACAACAAAACATTCGCTATCTGTGGAATTACCTCGGAATCCCGTAACCAATGAACAACAGCCAACACCATCCAACACCATCCAACACCAACCAACACCAACCAACACCAACCGCAGGCAGTGTGATATTCAGATTTCATAGAAGCAGGCTTGAAACTAGTATAAGGTTATTATTTGATCACGTTATACAGTTGAATGCCTCTCCCAAGCCCAGCGTTCGTTCGATACATATACGTCAACATTTCGCTCTCACGCTCCTACGACCAGACATCGGGCTTAGGCCAGTAGTTAGTCTACCAGGGCAACTCCGACAAGTTCGTTGGGATGAGAGGGCTTGAGATGATCAAGCTAGATCCTCGGTATAATCATCCCCATCGATGAATAGAATGTATGAACGAGACGGAAAAAGCGGGGTTTAAAGAAATGACCCATTGACGATATCAAACCATCTCTGGACAAATTACGAGGGACCTCTTGGCGACTTCGGTCCAACATTTTCTCTATTCATTTTTCGCAGTTTATGGCCTCTTTCAATATTCCATTCTTACATCTATTTCACACTGAACTTCGCCCGTCGGCTTTATTTTATCTCGAGTTATCGATCTCTGGTAACAACTGCCGTGATTCAATCGAATGCTTAATTGAAAAAAATATATATATACTTCATTCAAGTATAAAAGTTATAACAGCAAAATGTTACATTTGTGGATGCGCATTGCACGGTGAAACAACGAAAGTCATTTTCAACAGCAGAGACTCACTGGTACAAGTTTCTATGGAATTATCGTCGTTTTCCCTGGGAGGAATAATTTTCTTTCAAATGATGGAAATCCTGGGGAGGGTAATTATGGGGAAAAGTTCATGGCGGTTCTATTAAAATTCAGAAAGGCAGATAATACAGAATGCAGATATAAAATTAAAATTCTATTGAGCAAATGGATCTACAATTATTTGAGAGAAAAAGAAAAGTCTTTTCTTTCCATTTTCCATTTCTTCTTTATCTACAAAAAAAATTCTTGTGGAATAATCCATTTATTATTATTTTCATTGTTTTATTGTTTATTTACTTGTTTTTAGAGTTTTATGCAAATAGGATAAAAATTTGCATATAAATGTAAAAATTTTTTCTGGTCGTAACTTTGCGCCCCTTTTCTACTGCTGTACAAGCATTTCTCTCGAAAATTTCCCTCCGTGTATTTCATAAAATATTTCCTGCCCGACACCTGCAAAAAAAAAATGAATACCTAAAATGAAACATCTCTGCCTCACCTGTTGCACACCCGAGCCATCGTGGACTGGAAAAAAAAAAGTGGCATCGAAAACCGAGTGTAGGATCCCCCTGGAAAAGTTGGTACCCCACGGAGAATTCCGAAAAGTCGCAAAGCTCCTCGAACAACCTATTAAAAGCCTCAACTTTTCACGGACAACGTGGCTCATAAACCCACCTTCATTCCCCCCATTTCCCATAGCTCGTAGAAATTTTATTCTCCCCCTCGAGTTCCTGTTAAATGTGAAAAGCCACGGTGCATCCCAATAAAACAAACCATCATAAAACGCGCGAAATCATTGTGTGTTAACTCCAGTCTCTGCTATCAGTGTTAAATCTTGATTTGCCATTGCGCGTTACGCATTGCGAGCAGATGTACATCCACGTTGTTTGAATGTACGTAAGTTTAGTCCATCGATTTTCCACCTCATCCTCCAGACCCAGTCCTTCCCTCCGACGTCATCGCCTACCCCACAAAAAACCATCCACACATAAAAATTTGTTTAATTGAATAAATGAATTGAAAATGAAAATTGAAAATGACGATGAAGCCAATAAATCATACAATCAGTAACCATCAGGGTAAATTAGACAATAATTTTTTTTTTTTTTGGCGTAGGGATGAATAAAAAAATGGAGTTGTGGCTGTCAGACGGGAACACCAAGGTTACAAGTTGGGGGATTACTCTCTCTGGGGATTTGGGTTAAATCTCAGTTGTACAAGCGTTTTCCCACCCTCTCCTTGGCACAGTGAACACCCAAACGTTATTCGCGGTCCATCCTGCATTCTCCGAGTAATATCTACCATTTTATTTTTTTACACTGCCACTTTTTTTCCTTGAAAAATTCCAGCGTCTCTGGCCATTTTCAACCGGCACTCTGTCATTTATCTCCTTTTTTTTAATTATGAATGTGGCTTTGCTCAACCGTTTGTTATTCCCTCCTGGTGTGTATGCGTGAGAATTCGCGGACATCCGACAACCTAGTGTCCACCAGGAAGATATAACTTACGGTAGATATAATCCTGCTTCATAAATACGGTTTTCGTCACTTTTAGATTCTTTACTTTTTTTTTTTTTTTTATTCTACATTTTTACCGACTTTTTGCTGGGCATTCAGTTCGTTCCGTATTTTTTAACGCAGACGTAGGGGCTTGTTTGCTCTCACGCGTCTTTTTATGGGGTGATAAAAGAAAAAATAACAGTGGGAATGCGTGATTTGATGGGGTTAAAGTGTCTTTCATGAGAAATTGAATTATTATGCTATTTTTTTTCATTCATTTTTGTAAGGAGCGAAAGGGCCACCCTCTGCATATATTTCATGGGCTTCACTGTGAATGGAAATTATTGCTCGTAGTGAAGAGTATCGAGACTTTTTTCATTTCCATTATGTCCACTTTCTGAATTTTGAGAGTTATTTTCAGGATTTCCTTTTTATTGATAAAAATTTATAAACATCCTGGATAAAAAAAATTGTAACCGGAATATTTTTTCCAAATTTTCAAAAAATTTCTGTAAAACTTTTCAGAAATTTTTTTTATATAAAAAAAAAATATTTCCCTTACAATTTTTTTTTACCCAGAATTATAAATTTAAAAAACAATTGTATCAAGACGTAGTATTTCTTCTCCTGTAGTATAGAGTTCTCTGATGTAAAGCCAGTACCAGAGAGTTGCAAAAAATCAACGACAAAACAGCCACCGTGAGCTTTTAAGGTCAAACTGAGTTAAAGGAGCTGTACACAGGGTAACCTCAAGTGCTGATATTTATGGTGTTTTCCTGGGGGTCCAGTATGTACGCTCCACACTGCGACT